GTACAAATCAAGACTGTTTCTCTTTAACGTGGAGTTTCTTTCGGAGTTTAGCAATTTTCTGTTATCTGTTGTGGTTTTGCTGTTTTTTATTCCTTACATTCTCCCAAAAAACCTCTGTCAACACTATCAACACTACTGGTAACAGTGCATGCACGAAAATTATATTGAAGCTCATCGAAAATAGTTCGATCAGATTTAGATCTAGTTACTAGAAAAACTAAACGAAAATCCTGTTACTTTCTTCAGAAATGGCACTTCTTTTCTCTCCACCTTAATAAGCTCAGACGTTAAACTAAGAAACTAGTCAATCCCCAAGGGAAGAAGTGGTGCAATGCTGAAAACAGCAGTTTCATTCCTTGCTTCTCAAATGGGTTTTCGTTTTCCAACTTAAGCTTTCAGTCCAACAAAATAAACATCATATGAAATGCAAAATCTCAAGTTGTCTATTGTTCTGTTTGTTAAATCTATAATAATAAATACAGACACAATGTCCACAAACACCCAATCTCTACATATATCTGCTAGACTTGTGTTCTTGATATAGAATATTTTCAAAATATTTTTAGACTAATAGTATATCAATAGCTCCTTTTCTTGTCGCATTCCTGCCTTCTATCTAAAAGACTTAAGTTCGAACTCTGGCTCCATCATTTCAAAAACACTCTTTCTCAAGACTCCTGTAAAATCAAATAGTGAGGCATTAGTAAATTACTAATTAGTTAGATATTTAGTATTTATGAAAGTGATTGTATTTAGCTTACTAACCGTAACAACGATTGGTTAAGCCACAACATTAGAGTAACCTTTGACTTAAACTAATTGGCCAAGTTTTCTTTGATTCTTGTCTTCTGATATGCAAGACTTATATCATACCCAATAATATACATTACTCATATCTATAAATTCTAAATAAAATAAATATTACTTTAAGTGCAGTTATAAATATTTTACTTTTAAGCTGTAGCTTCAATACTGAAAAATATTTCATCCCTTTAGTTTTATACAAAAAAAAGATAAGCTACGTTTTCAGTACATGTGAAACTTAAGTCTGAAATTGTTAACTATACTGATTAATGATATCAGAATATGAATTTATACAGGGATATTTATTTTTTGTTGACAAAAGCTAATGACATGATTTAATCTGAGAAGTTTCAAATCCGACTAGTTGACATCATTCATAGTAAGTATGTATAAATGAAGCGAATTTCGTAATTTAATAAAGGCGCTTATGAGCCAGTATTTAGCTTTTAAAAACACCACAAGAACTTCGAATAAATCAGAAGATCCTAATCTTTCCTGTTTGACTTTTTAAACGACTAATTAATTTGTATTTTAAAACACGAACGCATATAATAGTGACTTTAATAATTAAAGTTTTTAAATTCTAGTAAATATTTTAGAGATCTAGCCATCAATCTCAGATTGAAACAAAAGCAAAACGTCTTGTATCTCATAATCATGTATATATATATATATTTAAAGAAATTCGACTTTTGAAGATGAACCACCTTAAAAACTAAAATAAAATACAATTATAGTTTTCCACACATAGAGAGAGAGATAATTGAGGACATTATATTGAAAGGAATTTGGATATGTAAATCAGGAAATCACGTTGCAACCGTAGCCGATATATAGTTGCAATGAAAGGGAATACATAAGAACTACATTTTGACATTGTTTGTCGTCCCATAACTATTGTGATGCCACTGAAAATTGGTCGCTTTTGTTATGGTATCCAACAGCTCTTTCCGATGCAAAATATCCATACACTCAAATCATAAGGATATCTTCAGATCGAGTATTTAGAATTTCCAAGACAAGGATATTCCTTGTACTTAATGGCATTGAGAAACCGTGGAATATGGATAAGTGTGGGGCAATAGGATCACCAAAAGGATGCCTGCAGCAAGTCGAACCCCAGCCGTGGTAATCAAGGTGCAACATCTTATAACAGGTGAAAATCCACAATTACAAAAGACGTCTACGTGCCCCAGGCAACAGTATGCAGCATAATCAAGAATGCTCTCTGTCTGGAAAAGCGATACATGTCACGTGTACACAAATTGCTTCAACAAAAACGTTCAACTGTTGCATTCATCAAGCACCTGGAGAATGAAACAAGTATTTACCGCTCAAGTCGCCGGACTTATCGCTTTTAGATTTCTGTTCGATTGGACTGTTGAAACAAGTACTGGGATTATCCTCGCGCGCTAGATAAAATACGTTAATTAAAAGGAACAGTGATTGGGTATGACAGTCTACTGGCGGAGCCTTTTGCAATACAAACTATTCTGAAGATGCACGTTCGTCACAGAGGTATACACACAGTCTATGTATTTTCAATAATTACGGGCATATTTAGGACAAAAAAGGAAACACTATTTATATTCATAACTGGTAAAATATTAATTCTACAATTGTATTTCGTTTTGAAATCCATCAGTCATATCATTGGAGGGACTTATTTTGCACACATTGTACATACTTTCAAGATAGCCAGACTTATATTAAGTGAGATGTTCTTAAATCGCATGTTACTTAATGTTTTTTGATTAAAAAACAAACTAAAATAGAAAATAAAATGTTATTTAAATAGTCGAGTCCAGTGAACATGAATAATTGTATTCTTATGTATATTTAATGTTTATATTGCCACTGGCATAATATAAACATTCAACCTTCGTAAACCTTTCACCGTGCATCGCATGTTTACATCTGCTAGTTGTTTTAAAACGTACTCAACCCCTTTATTTCATGATAAATGTTTGTAAAATAAGAAGTTCAAATCGATATAGAAACTTGCATACAAGTCTCGCAGTTATGGTGAGACGTATTTTATGTAAAAACTAAAAAAGTTGCCAACTGCGCATGTTATTACGGCATGCTGACCATATGACTCCCGTCTTGTAGTGCGAAATAGAATATCAATAATTCGCATTCTGTATTCTCATACCTATTAAAATATGTGTATAAACATACTACTACTATTTTAACAAATATTTATAAACTTACAACTTAAGGTTTGATGTTTTGTCATAAATACTTCTTTTGTTTATTTTCTTACAGGTGTAAAGTTATTGAACAACTTTACTAATACTATGACTCACATAGCATTGAAAAAAGTTGCTATTCAGTAATATTTGAAATGCTTATGAAAGGCACTAATGCCCTCCAATGGTACAACGGTATGTCTGCGGACTTACAACTCAAAACACCGGGTTCCGAGGTGTAGCTTTGTGCTTACTTACAAACAAACAAAAGGCACTACTAAATATTATTACTTCAAAATAATACATAAACACGCCACAAATGCTACTAAGGCCTTTAACTGGAATTAGCAAACAAATTAAAAAAATACTACTGTAAAAAACAGAGAACTTACTTCATCCAAATCTATTACGCTGCATGGACATTTCAAATTCTTTTTCTCGTAGTTTAACGCTCTTCAGAAAGTGTATATTCAACAGACATTTCCTTTTCTTTTTACAGAAGGCATTGTTCTCATAGATCCAACATCTGTGGAAAACAAAAATGTTTATGTGGGAATAATTGCGATAGTTCGTTATGGTCGTGAAGAAGATGAAATACTTGGGATGAGTTTTTCTCGAGAACTATATCTATCTCACAAGCAGATTTATCCACGTGTGGATGCACCTACTGAAACCCCTAACGACAATACCGAACAACAGAAATTAAGTGACGGATGGCTTTATGAACAAATTCTTCAAAAATTGGGAACAAACGCATTACCTTTCCGTCTTGTTGTGAGTATAAGTTTTGTTAATGAAATTTCACGATCAGGATATGAAAAAATTAGTTTAAAACTTTGTTGAGAGAAAAAAGCGTTATTTTTTAAGTATTTTAAACATTTAAACTATGGCTAATTATTTGAGAAATTTCCAAACATTCTTAGAAAAAGAAAATATTCTAAACTGTGGAACGTCATGTGATAAACTGTCTAGGAGCAGACGTCAATATATATAACCCTTCTATTAAATTAACGAAGTTTAATATTTAGATACTTAGTGATGCAAAACCATAGTCCATCAAACTCTCAATTTGTATAGTATAACAAGAATTTCATTGGACTTTATTCTTCTACACCATTCATTTTTCACCTTGTCCCTTAACCCTCGGGGTCATTGGGGCACCAATGAAGACTCTGCAACCAGCTCTCCACAAATTTATCGTTTTTCCACCGCCCTCTATGAGTTGAAGAACTCCAGGCCTGTCCACTCTTTGATGTTATCTTCTCACTTCTTCTTCTGTGTACCTCTTCTTCTTTTCCCTCTCACGGTGCCTTGCAAGGTGGTCTTTGCCATGCCAGGTGACCGTGAGACGTGACCATACCACTTCAGTTTGCGTTTTTTGACAATGGTCAAGATATCTTTGTATTATCTTATAGCTTCTTGCAGACCTCTTCGTTGGTAACACGGTCTTTATATGAGATGCACAAGATCTTTCTGCAGCAATTCATTTCCATGGCCTATATTTTTCTTTCTAGATCTGCTGTTAGATGGTAGGAGCACCAACAGTTTAGTTATCACCTCCGTCCTGCTGTGAGGCGGAAGGTGTGGTCATTCGTAACCCGGGCTGCGATCGATCCGGTATGGTTGTGTGTTGGTTGTCAACCTGTGGTGTGTTTTAGGCGCTTGCAGCCTAGTGGCGCCCATCTCCTCTCCAGGTTGGTTGACCACAGCCGAAATCCACCATACAGTGTGGCACGCTCTGGTCCCGAGCATGCGGCCGTTGAGCTCATCCAGGAGCCCTTTCGCCCTGGCCGTTGACTTCATCGAGGAAGACATCCGCTCATCACATCATTTCACCCATCGACACCACTCCTAGTTCAAAATACGTGTTATTGGGAATACAACGTTGACTGATAATGCAATGTTTTGCTATATATAGAGCTTTATTACCTGCTATCAGAACACGTGTCTTGAAATAGTGTATTTAGTGTATAGAAAAAAATATTTTTTATTACCTTACCAGATATGAATGTTAATACTTCTAACAAGCTTTCTAGTAACAGCAATAGAGTTTATCATATAGCAAAAAAAAATTCATTCACTCTTATAAAATAAAAATTGAATAAATTCCTTCCTGTCCTTATGAAGCGGAGTTAATAGTGCTGTTCGATCATGTTAAGACTTTTTTTCATTAAAACCCAGACAGGCAAACTCTAATGGTATTTTAGTATTATTTTTCATAGTAAAATAATAACATACTTTTAATTTCTTCTATATTGAGTTGTCCCTATACACAGTATCCTTAGTCTACCCATTTTCATCGAAAGAATGAGTAGTTTCTTCAAAAAGTTTAAATCAAACCAAGAAAATTGATATGTGTTTCAGAAACATAAATTGGAATGAAAGAAAACTATTTAATGATTTTGTGTCCAAGAGACAAGATGTAATTTTATAGTTAAAATGAGATGTGGCTAATTATGTGTGTATTGGTTTTGTAATTTACTAAACAAAGAAAGAAAACTGTTTCCAAAACGATTATTTGACTAATAGCTAAACGAATCACAATAGAAGTAAAACATTAACATCGATTACAATTATAATTACTTGTTTTTGTAGAGTATTTAAAGTTAGTTGTGTAGTCATTAATGTTTATTAAAAGAGAGCACTTCATATGTCAGCCTTCACACTTTCTTGCAGGCATTCAAGTAATTTGATATAGAAATAGGATTTTCTTATCTCTATCCACTACATCGCCTGAAGAAGAAAGAAAGGTTTTGACAAATCCTTCCTGCATTTCCTCTTTATTGTGAAAGAGATAAACCATAAGACAGAAGTACTGTCATAGTTGATAGTTATGATGTCCAAAAAAAATAGTTACTAAAAGCAATTACCATCGCGCAAAGACAATAATGTATGTAGTATTTTCTAATAAGTTCACCTAAACGTGGTTCATTGTGCTACACTATACATTGCACAGATTGTTGTTGTTGTTGTTAAGTACAAAGCTATAGAAAGTGCTATCTGTGCTCTGCCTACCACGGGTATCGAAACCCAGTTTCCAGCACTATAAGTCCGCAGACATACCGCTGAGCCACTTGCGGGGGGGGGGCCAACACTGCACATCCTGAGGTATCTGAACACCAATGAAACGTGTAATAAAATCCCCCCAACATGCTCTGAAAAGCTAGAACTGAGCTTTGGGATGATTTTAAGAATTTGAGAAAAAAAATTATAGCTTGCTGGAAGTGGAATAAAAACAATATATATAATGTTGTCATAATTGTTGACTTCTAAGAAACAATATTTCTTATTACCGAAGAAACACAATTAATGTTGCACCCGACCCTGCAAATATTAGCTGCTTGTCATTAAAAAAAAATATTTAATCCGCTACTGATATTACGGATGGGTACCTTTTCTACCGTACGGGCTAAGTATCTGTTACTAGTAGCAGTAACAGCAGATAGAAAGAGAGGCGAGATTTGCCATTCCATTTACGTTATGTGATGATACTGTACAATTGTCATGATATACATATATCAAAAAACAATAGCAAAGCAACACAACTACCTATCTTATCACAGAACCCCGGATGTAAAGCCATAAACTTACCTCTGACCCAACGGGGGGACGTTCAATATATTAACCATATTGTTGATGTGAACGTACTTTATTGTCATTATGAGAAAAACCAGATATAACAAATAACTTAGTATTCCGAGAATTGTTTAATCATCAAGAATTTATGGAATACTAAGTTTATTTATTATATCTGCTATTGTGCGGCTATATAACGTGAAGAACTGAATAGTGGCCAATGACACTTTTTCTTCACTTCACCTATCCAGTGCACAAGTTTTTCTTATAATGAAAATAAAGCACATTCATATCAACAATATGGTTGATACTTTTCACTGTGATATAGGTCCAGTTTATCTCTTTTTGTTAACTTGTGTTTAGGGCTACTGATGAAAAGTGGAATTCTCCGAAACTAGTATAGCCCAATAACGCATGTTGATCAAAGTTATGATTGAACTAGACCTCCCTCTAACTTAGTCTTCGAGATTAAAATAAAATTTGGAATACTAAGTTTATTTATTATGATGTTTAATATATCTAGTAGCAGTCTGTTAAACTATCGATAAATTTCTCGAGCTTCTTGTTATCTATATGCAAGTAGTTGAAAGAAATAAAAAGCCCATCGTTGATTTTTTTAATACATTTCCTCTGAATCTTACCAAAACTGGGAAGGCTCACTAAACGAGATTTCATCAAGTCACACAGCATAAATGCAGAGGCTCACATGATATTCCTCGCGCTTTTCTGACGCGAACCCTTGTTAGAGGCTGCTGTCATTAACAAACAGACCGTACAGGCTGAAAGGTTCTTGCTGTTTCTGTTATCAGGAGACTAACAAATTTCTACTAGTACCAGTTAAGACCAACAAAATAACGTATTTGCTAATATCTCGATGTTATATTCATGCATGGTTTAAGGATTTCGTTCTCATTTGATTATTAGCGTCTTTAGTATTTTCATGTGCACAATACTATGTGAATATAGAAATAATGATAACAACATATATTTCATACGGTTCTACCTAATCCATTAATGTTGCTTAGAGTATTTTTAAATTGCATATTTTTTATGATACGAAAATTCGAAGATTGAAGTAAATCACGGCAGATTTGTGTATGTGAAACTGAATTAATGTTAGAGGTATATCGGATATGTTCGCTAGATAACAGAAAATTCACTCAAGATATCGATCTCAGAGTAATGCTAAACCTGATACTACCTCTATTGAAGTAAAATTAAGTAACGAGACTGGGCAAAAATTTTGATGCAAATACACCATCTATATTAAAACACTAAACACAAACACAGTGTATGTGAGTATTTGATTGAATAAACACGGGGATTGTTGTTCTGACTGGATAACTTCAATGATTAACTCTTTCTCCCGTCCTGATTACAAATTCAAATGAATAAATGTAATGAATGTTCCCTGGAACATAAGAAACGTCGCACTTACCCAAGGCGACCAGTGCTTCATGTAACTGATCATTTTCATTACAACATAGTGCCGTAACCTCTGAACAACCGTTGAAGGACACTGCTGTCGACATCCTTTCACAACGTTTGTATTGAGCAATATCCTTCCCTGGCAGTAACAAGTATAATCCACTTCGAAAACAACAAAGGAACGAAGGTAACTTAACGGCTTTCTCGACCATGTGTTACGTGAAACCTGCACATAAACAGGACAAATAATAAATTCAGAGTAACTATTATAGTGTTAAAAGAACACAGAAACACGTGGTCTAATCAAATACTCCATCTACGTCAAAGTTAAAGAGAAATTGGAAAAGTTACACTTCCTGCAGTAATCTTTCATAGAAAGTCTGGGTCTGAAAGCCTAGAAGGGATTTTGTCAAATATGATGTAAAGATTATTAACCATTGTTGTTTTACTGCTTGCTAATGGGTTTCTACAGTAGTTTAGCTTATTTAACAATGCAGAAAAAAAAAGATATTTTATCCTTTTGCGGTATTGGCAATGATTCCAATTCCCAACAGTAACATCATAAAGAGACTAGGGTTACAAGGCAATCATTTATTCAGTTTTAATATTTTAAGCTTAAGTCTCAAAACAAGGGAAATGATATAATTTATTGTTTATTTTTTTTAGAAAGAAGATTTAATTAAGACATTGTAAACGGATTTGTTCATAACGATAAATGCTGATATCTGATTAGAACGATAGGCGATAAAGAATATATTTTCCTAATTTTTCATCATAGCTACCATGTACTACACCTATATCTGTAATCATGCTGCCGCAAGGAGCAGACACTACAGATACGTGTGGCGTCCGATATTATGTTCGTTGTTACGTCGCTTCTAATCCAACGGAAAAGCCATCTAGCCGGTGAGATTTCTCTTTGTAATTTACTTCATTAGAAATTAAGAATGTTATAGACTTCAGGCCAATTCTTAGATATGTTCTTGTAGTTTGTTTAAGTAAAAAGACATTTAGGTTCTCAAAGCTAGTCATTCAGTGTGGCAGTAATTTTATCCGCACATTTTACTCGGAATGTATTGGTTTACATAAAAACCAGAAACGCCAGCAATATACGTCAGATCGTTTGTCTCTTGTTACATACCATCTGGATCTGTTAGAAAGATTCAGTCTGAAACATTTGTTTATGACATTTAGTGTATCAACTTATTAGTGTTACATTAGCATTCAAAACAGAAACAACGCTTATCTGTTTTGTCCCATTTGAGCCTGCTAAAAAGCATCCATTGATCCATTCAGTAAAAGGTATATATCTATATATATAAAAGAGGAAGTTTGTTAATTTTTTTATTTGTTCGCTATAGCAAACCAAACGGTTGAACTTACAAATTTTAAAATAACTTCATAATAACCAGTTTTTTTACAAGATATTTAATGGTTCTGTTTATTTTGTATTTGATGTAGTATTTAATGACGAAATTGACAATTAATGATTATTGCACCATTTTTTGTTATAATTTGTTTTGTAATAAACATACAAACATAAGCACGTTTTACACATAGAAAGCGTTATGGCGGG